GGAGTTCTCCTTCATCTTCTTCCTTTTTCATCAATTTTCTTCTTTCTTCTTCTTTCTTTAGCCAGAATCTCTACTCATTTCTTCTTTCTTCTTTAGTTTTTTTTGTTTCTTTTCATCTATTTATAGTAAATTAATCAATTTCCTTTTTTTGTAGAGACGGCTTGATAATTTCTTTCATTCATTAGAGTTTTAGGGCATGGTAATTTCATTGAATGGTAGGGTATAGGGTTTTTGCTAGATTCAGGAGGCATTTTACAAGATAGATCTTCAAAGACCAATGATTGCTTGGTTGTAATATTTTTCAAAGATCTACTCAAAAAGACCAAAATACCGTTTGGCAAAATACTTGTGGATCCCTTTTACATATATGTGAAATGTCATGGGACCCAATAACATATTCAAACATACAAATAGTACTTGTAAGTTCCACTTATACATTTACTTTCACAAAATATTAAAGTGGGCCCTACTTATGTATTTTTCGACCCCCATAATATCCCAAGAGAGGGATGCATAGCCCAACTTGGCCCACAGGCCAACACAGTACAGCCCGCATTTTGCATGTAAGCCGTGCCTTCTCGACCCAGCACAACCCGATTTACACCTCTACTTATAGCAACACTTTTATTATAGACACTAGGGGTATTTTAATAAATTCAATATACAGGTTAGGGAGGGTCTAGTTTGGCCTAATACCGTACCCTACTCATACCCATCCTATTCGTACCTGTACATGCTGTAAATTTCTAAATTCCACTCACCTTAAAATCCATTTTTCAAAAAAAAATAAATAAATAGAGGGTAGGGTGGAAATTGCAAATTTGCATCTACACCCCTTAGAGTGTATCCCACGGTACATCCCATCCGTGTATTGGGAACATCACCAATGCACGTTGAGATGTGCATGTGAGGCACAATGTAAACTCGGTAATTGCCATCCCTAAGAGCAGAATTGGGACCTGCTCCTCACAAACTGGGCCTCAGACTGACCTCACAAACACATCCCATCATGCGACTGGTACAAAAGTCGGTGTGAGGAGTGCTCTATTAGGAACAGATCCACTCTCCTAAGAGCAATGTGCTGTAAGCATGGTTTTCGAAACCAGTTTTTGAAACCAGACCGGATCGGATGGTCAGACCAGAAAAACAGAACCAGTCAAGTGATCGATTCTGTTTTACCCCAAAACCGTTATTTTGCCAAAAATCGTTGATTTGATCAACAAATCGTTGACCTGGGCGTTCAAACCATCCAACGGTTTGATCATTTTCTTTTTTTTTTTTGTCAGAACAGGCCGTCTGTTTGGCTCAAACAATCAGGTTGTTTGACTTGGAAACCAAACCCCTAACCAGTTCGTTGTCCAGTTCGATTTTAAAATCCTTGGCTATAAGGGAGTGCTTTGTTAGGAGCATATCCACTCTCTTGAGAGCAATGTTCTTTTTCCATGTTTCCACACATTTGTAGTAGGGATGCAAATGGATTGGATAGGATTCGAATCAAGGTATATCCAAATCCGATCCAACACGGTTAATTACAAATTCGATCCAATTCAAAGATCCGATCTCATCTAGAAGACATGGATCTGAATTCGAATCCAATCGGAAAGTTGGATACTTAGGTTAGATATGATATGATTTGTTTTCTTTAAAAATTAACAAATTATTAAAAGAAAAATAAAATATACCAATTTAAATAAAAAAATACAAGTATTTTTTAATTATTTTCATCACATATACACATATTTTATAAAAAATAAATAATATCACAAATTTACAAAAATACAATATAAATAATATATTAATAAATAAATAAATAACATATATATATATATTGTATTATATATATTTATATAAATAAATATATAACATATATATATATATATATATATATATATATATATCAGACCCGATATTCTCGGATCAGATAAGGGTGATCCGAATCCGATCCGATTTTTGATTGGATCCTATTATCCCACCCCATCCGATCCAATTTGAAGATCCAAACTAGTGTGATCCGAATCAACCAAATAGGATCAGATACTTGCTTCCTAAACGGAGTTTGCAAAAAAATGTGCAAATAGCCCAAGTGTTACGGTTCAAAACAGGCTTAGCCTTAGGCACGCTTGGCAGACTTACGTTAGGGACATGACCGTCATTTTCGCCTGTAAGATTTTTGGGAGAACTGAATGTCATCTTCAGGCAGACCACCAAAAGCTTAACGTACTCTTTGAGGAGGGGTGGTCGACCTCCTTGGGTGCCTAACCTTGGCACTCCTAGACCATCATCCCCTTGCGGGGCGGCCCTGGTTAACGGCTAGCATGGCTAC